AGAGACTGTCCTTATGCCACGAGGACAGTTTAGATGGGTAAAGTTGGTTGACAAATGTTCAGGATCCATACATGCTAAGCAAATTTATTTTACATCCAGTGTAAAGTAATGTAATGGCAGTTCTTGAGATGACCTGCAGCGTACAAGCAAGATTTTCCAGAATGCCTATATTTATAAAAAAAAACTTAAGGGGTGGTCACTCTAAACATTTATTATGCGCCAACATTTTTCTCAGTGTGCCGCGCTGTGCCGAGAGTGCCAGTCATCGGACTGACTTTGTTTGTGAATAATTGTATATTTGGCAACCCGGTATTTTAACAGTTCAAATGTTTTGTTTTTGGTATGTCAAACCGTACGAGCTGTCAAAGACAGCTTGTTGGAAAGCTTCTGGTTCCGTGTGGACCACCCAGGTCGATCTATTCGGATGGGAAGTACCTCGGGGAAGTGATTCACTATGATGGCAACGTGATCAACATACTGTACACCATTTCGAATCAGACGCTTCCCTGCGGGAGGAAGGTCTACTGCATCTGGGTAAGCCGGGATCCGGATTCATCATACAACAACCTGCATGATGAGGATAGGCATCTGAATCTGACGTTAACGTTCACCAGCATGACTAGTATGGTGAACAACTCGCTTGGGCAGGCCATCAAGAATACTGCTGCAGTGCAGCACTCGGATCGGCCCAGTTCCGTCACCCGTATGTGCGTAGTGCGATGAAGATTTGATCCACGGAGAGTACAGCAAATATTACAAGCTGGTGAGGAACATCGAGAAGGGCGCGTACGGGTATGTGAAGCTGAGCTACCGGAACTCGGATAGGTTGCTGGTTATATTGAAGTTCATACTGAAGAAGAAGTTCGTGCCGCAGTTTATAATCGAGGAGAAACGGGAAATTTCAATGGAAGTGTACCTGATGATGCACGTGAAGCATCCCTTTGCTTTCCTGCACTCGTTGAACATTCTGCACCGGACATCAAAGACGAGAACGTTATCATCGATCACAATAACCATATCAAGTTGATTTACTTCGGTTCGCGACGCTCGTACAGGAAGGGCAACTTTTTTCTACCTTCTACGGCACGACCGGGTACTGCAGTCCGGAAGTGTTGACCGGAACTGGAAGATTGGTCTGACGATATCTCCAGCAGAGAGATAAATATTCTTTCCACCGGTCTCACGAGTCTGTATCTGAGGGAACCGGACGGAACGTGTATTAGTCTGGTCGATGGCGATCGGATTGGCCAACAAACAGCTTTATTACTACGAGAAAGTCAATTGTGATACAGATGATAGTGAGATACTGCTGGTCATGTTGGATGGGGATGCTGACGATAAGGATGAGGATGGCGATGGTGGTGCTGGTGCTGGCGACCGGAGAATGGAACGACTGGAAGGAACACTGGAGTCACTGTAACTGTAACACTTTTGTCAATTAGAGAAACGAGGTGTTTGTTTTGATAATAATGATTAGCTACATACGACGATTGGCGCTTCCATAGAAGTTAGGTGTTGTATGTAACATTGAGCTATATTTTGATCGGTTGGCACATACGACAAATCGTTTTTTGATAACCAAATGAAACAGCGGAGGTAGCGGATCCAAATTTTTCCTCTAGGGAAAGGAAGCAGAGTAGTGTCTGGTAGCATTAAAATGTCAATTTGTTTACGTTTGTTACATACGATCCAATTAAAAAAAAACTCCAGAACACTCAGATCGATCCGTTCAGTAGCAGCAGTTGCGTTGGTGGTCGAGCAAAAGTAACTATCAGAGGCGGCAGGAGCAACAACAGCGACAAAAGTCTGTTTTGGAAACGAGCCACCCGGTCGTCGTCGTGATGTCGGCATCTTGATGCCAGTTACTTTAGAGATCATAAAAAATATGTACCATGGGTGCCAAACAGTGTCAATAAGGGTGCCATGGTGTGCCCTACTTTGTTTTTGGCACACTGTGCTGAGTGACCAACCCCTTGATAAAACCTTCACAAGATGATTTGCTAGACACACTGCATTTGGGCAAATAAACTTTCAAAATCTGTTCATGTCGCGAATCATTGTATATTATGCATACTTTTCATGCAAATCTGTAATAGAATTATACATTTCCCTGTTGGATGCACACATTAAAACAAAATGTATGGATGATTGTCACGTGGAATTTGGACAACCACTAAGTAGCTTCTAGACTTTCTGTTGAGGTGTTTATGTCGTTTTATTAGTCTGAGCTTTGAATTTTGTTTAAGGTATATGACTTACTCGTGCAAGTAAGTATAGCCTTGCACCTAAATCGTTAGCGATGGAGATTCACTAGTCGTGCAAGAATTACGATTTGTATGTACTTGTCCTGGAATCTTCAAAATTAACACCCAAAAGTGTGTACCTTTGAAGATGGTCCCTTGGACTTGTCTTGGAGCTTGTTGTTTGTTGAATCACAGTGTATGAGAGATTTAAGAGTTCTCATGACCAGGCATGGAAAATCATTTACATTCATTTCATACATTCATTTACATTCATATGCCTTTAACTTTTTTCATCAACAGCATTCTGCAAAATGATGCAGATAGCTTTTGTAGGTTTTGTTATTAGCTACAACTTTTGCTCATAACTCAAATCTGTATATCTTATGCATCATGAACTAGAGCGGACAGAACTTGTTACTGTTTTTCAGTGAATGTAAAATACATTCACTGAAAAACAGTAGTGGCTTCTGTTCGCTCTGGTTCGTCATGCATCAGAGATATGGATTTGACTTGTTAACAAAAGTTGTAGTTAATAACAAAACCTACAAAAGCTATCTACATCATTTTGCGGAATGCTGTTCATGAAAAAAGTTAGAGGTAAATTAATGTAAATGAATGCACGAAATGAATGAAAATGATTTTCCATGCCTGCTCATGACACTATTCTCTGAAATCACATGGAAGTTTCTTTACAAGTACTATAAGATAAATATATGAATTTCCTTTGATTTCTCATTTGAACTTCCATTGAACTTTGATTGATTTGCTTCTTTATATATAATGTTATTATAATTCGATTCTCTTGGAATAATTATTATCCATTGAATCTAGAATAAGATTTTCCTCAAAACTTCTGTCAACGCACCAATCAAAGCCTCCGCTGTTCAGTCAATTATTATTATTATTATTTAGCTTTATTAAGGAGGCTTTCAGCCTTGGGCTGGTTCGCCTCCACTGTTCAGTCAATTTTAAAAATATGTGATAAATTCAATAATTAGAAAATTTATTCTGAACTTGTACCTAGACTTGTACAGACTTTGTTCAGCTAACCTCATTCATCATATAAAATAAAATTTGTCGATTTTATTAATTTCTTACGTATAACGGTCATTTAAAATGTTTACAGCTGTTCATAATCCGGTAAATTTTTACCGACTTTTGTGATCTAAATTCAATGTAAAAATGTAATCTACTCTGCATTCCTCGAATTATCCTTAGAATTGTCTTTAGAGAATTGAATCCCTTTAATATTAACCTGGAGTTTTCTCACAATTTGCTTTGAATTTTCTTTAGACTTAGTAGAGATGAACCAGCCTAAGGCTGAAAGTCTCGTTAATAAAGGAAAAAAAAAATCTTTAGACTTATCTTAGGATTCTACCGAAGACATCATATCAAGAAGATTGGCAACTTTTACAGAATCCAAGCGACAGTTACAATAGCGCTGCGCTTGATTGAATGTGGAAGAAACGCATAGAAAAATGAGCAAATACACAAACCTTTCTTCTGAGGATGTAATCTTTGCTATTAAATTCGTTCAAAGCATTTACCTCTCTCTATTTCATAGCGTTCGTATGAGAAGATGGAAGAGTTGTCAGTCTTCGTGATTTGTTGCTTTCGATTCTACTCTGAACTAACTTGCTATTCTCCTTAAAAATCACCAGGAGCTCTCTTCACACTTCTCTTGTAAATCTTCTCAGAATTATCTTGGAATTCTAGTCAGAACTCTCTTCAAATTCTCATCATAACGCCCCTTCGAATTATCCTTCGACATTCAAGTTCTAAAATTCGTATTCAGAATCCTCTTCAAAATTCTCATGGAACTTTATTCCAAAAGTCCCAGTTTTTAATCTTGTCTTGAGCTCATGGACATTTTTTAAAAACACCCCTTCTTGAATCTCTTATTCATCTTTCTTCCTGCTTTTGACTTCCTGACACGAGCTTTCGCCCGCTATCAACTTAGTGTTCTTGCGGCACTTCCATATTTTTACATTGCCGACCATTGCATTGCATGAATTTGTATAATGTGTGGCAAGCTCAATGCCTTTACAGACTAGCCTATCTGAGACCCCTGTTAGTCCATGAAGATTGAAAAAATCCATGTTTGATTTTTTAACTAAACCCCAGAGTTTAACGAAAAAAAAATCAAAGTTACTAAATCTGAAACAAATGTTCAAGCCTCAGAATCTTGAAAATTTAATAAGTTCTGCAGCTGAATTCCGGTCATACATTTCATCGAAGATAAAGAATTTTTTTTATATTAGGTATATGTATTTTCGACGTATTATTTTTTAATTCTGTCTCTTAAAAAAATAAAAGACTTAAAAAATCTCGATATCTGAGGCTTTAAACATCTGTTGCTTAAAATTTCTTTTTTTATAATTCTTCAACTTCCAAAAATTTACAAAATTCTGTGCCGTCTGACAACGCCCTCTCATATGTTAGTGTTTAACTTTATCATCATGATCAAAATTCCACCAACATCTCACAGAAACCCATCGCTCACAGCAAGATCACTTTGATTAACTGCATTTCCCCCGTGTTTACTTTGCGGATGGTTTGACCTACTCTCCTTCACTCTCCTTCAGCATCTGTCTGTAGTGTATTAATTGCCACCCATGCAGCGACCACATCAAAAATGCAACCCCCATACAAATCACAAATCACCTTAGCAAAACATGACCGCTAACCACAAAACCACACTCTATTCTTCAACACCCATTTATGAATCTTTTTTTTCCGCACGCGCCACCCAATTAGTCAATCCTTCAAATCGCTGAAGACGAAACCTACGACAGCCTCCGGTTGATCAACGTCGAACTGAATCGTATCTTTGGCCGGCCGGATTCAATGTTCCTACGGACGACGCCCAGAGAGTTCCTTTTCGATGGGGTTCCCTTCTGCGTGAACGTGATCGGCATTGCCAAGGCCATCTGCAAGGAGATCGAAAAGCGAAACACCAAAACCATCCGGGTGATGCCCGACGGGTCGATGAAGTTCTCGTTTTTCTTTCATGTAAGTGTTGTAGCAGCAGCAAATGTTTCACGCTGATCTGGTTATTGAACTTGTAGAAAAACATGACTGACGACGGCACCTATACGATCAACACCGGGATCAAGGATGCAACGCAGACGCAAATGATCGAATACTGGAATGGAAGGAACACGTTGGATAGGTGGACCAATCGATCGTTAGGATCGGCTTCGAAGTGCAACATGATCGTCGGAACGGACGGTTCCGGATATCCTCCGTTCCGGGAGGGTGTGAAGAAGATGACCATTTTCAGTTCCGATATTTGCAGGTTCGTTGGCTGGATTAATCTGATCATTTTCTAACACATGCTACATTGTAATTTTGTTCTTAGAACTGTGGACATCAAGTACGTAGGACCATCGAGCTACGAGGGAATTCCTGCGCTACGGTTCGAAACTGATAAAAATTTCCTAAACGAGATCGGTCCCGAGTACGGCAACGATTGCTACTGTGTCAATCGGATACCAAAGGCGATCGTGAAAGACAATGGTTGTCTCTACAAAGGAGCACTGGATCTGTCCACATGTTTCGGTAAGATTCTAAACCTACTAGGTACTTAGTCATTGGGAAATCTGAAATATTTCCGGTCGTCAATGACGCACTACTTTGCTTTTCCAACGCTTGGGTGTAAAGCAGCGATTTATTTTATTAGTTAGATTAGCATAATTCGTGAATCTGGTTATTTTTCGGGAGAAAATACGAGTTCAGAAGAGTCCAGTCATAAACCGGTCACTTACACCTGCGCCGTGCGAGAAATAGCGGAAGACTAAAATGTCTCCCATCCAGCAATCCAGCAAATGCCATCCAGTCAAAGATCAACTTGAAGCCTCTTCATTTAATAGCAGAGAGTGTAAACAAACCGGCAACCGGCTAAACAGGTTCGCCCCCACTTCCCAGGCACCCCGCGCACAATCAGAACAAACAGAACCGATTTTGCATCGGTCGCACTGTGACGGTGAACATAGCAAGCCACTTTGATTGCGTCTGCGCTGCCGAGAGCCATTCCATTTGACACCATCATCATCATCATCGTAGTATGCTAATTGGGTGGATGCTGGAAGAAATTTTGCGATCCCGCAAATTAACGCGTGAGATAATAGCGTATACAGGTGATCGTTTCGAGGTGTTCTGAAACGTCTATTCGTGTCAACAGTTTTGAGCCAACGGCCAACGGGGGCGGGCGGTTCGAGTGGAGTTGAAATTAACGATATACCTAGTCTCTAACGGGTGGCTTCGTGTAAAGGTTATCATCAATTTTCGAACGTGACAGATGTGTGGGAGATAGCTTCGAGATACTCTTTTTTTGTGTTCTGTAGCGTACACGATCGCTTGGAGATAAGTATGTATGTGATTCGTCTTCTCTAGATGATCTTAGTAGCCATAAATAAGATAACTCCAATTAAGCATCGATAATTTATAATTGCATTCTTTCGGCAAAGATCAGTATGGCTATTGTTTGATTGCTGTAATTGAAAAAAGAATCTGCATTGATAGCACTTGAAGTGTAATTTATTTATTGAAGTGTAATTTATAAAATTGTGATTTGGGTTGATCCTCAAATTAGAAAATTAAAAACATGAACATTATTTTCCGATTACTTATTTATATTAACAACAATTATTAGAATACTTGCGACTGTTGCAGCAGATGGCGCGAGCTATGGCATTTTATTTTGTTCGCAGTAAAGTCGGAAAATGTACACGCTTCTAAATTAGATTGTTTTCAACTGCTCATTTCGCTTGATTTACTTATAAGTTATAGGAAGAAAGTCTGTGTTTCACACATAAATCCTGCCAATTTTGCTTTCTAAGAGTCATAATCAGCATTTTTATAATTGCTGAGTGAGGGGCTGTTCATAAACTACGTAGACCGATGTTGAGAGGTTTTAGACCCCCATCGCCTAGACAATGGATCATTCCATTTTTTTGGAAATTTGTATGGATCGTTAGTACTCTCCAACCCGCTCAAAATGTCTACATAGTTTGTGAACAACCCCTGAGTGAGTGAGTGAAAATTGATAAAATCGCTGGAATATGGAACAGCTGAACATTCGGTAAACTTTTGTTCAGTAATTTAGCTGTCAAAATTTACTGAAACGCACTGGAAGTTTTGCTGAATGATTTGTTACATTGGAAATACTGAACTGTCACATTTGTAACGAAAATTCTTTAAAAAATCACAATTTGTTTAGCTTAAATTACCGATTGTATTGTACCCACCCAAGTAACCAAAAGTTCTGATAACAGGCTATTAGTGCTTAAGCAGCTTGGTTGAAGGTGGTCTATAGTATTCTAAGCAGCCTCATTTTTAAGTCGTTATAAGAACTTGGAAGATACGGTAGGGGAAACGCTCCTATAGTTGCGGTACGTTAGAAGCGTTAGGTTCCTATAGTTGTGTATGGAGACTCAATACACAACTATAGGAACCTAACGCTTCTAACGTACCGCAACTATAGGAGCGTTTACCCTACCATAATTGAAGAGCATTCTATGCAGCTTCTTGTGGAACTTGAACGGAACTTTTAGAAAATAATTTAAAAAAGGTTTTTGTCCTCTACACCAATTTTATATATAGTTAATTCTTAAGTCAGGTCTTTCTGAAATACATGCCAAATACACTGGTTTGAATCCAGGAAATTGTTCTTTAATTTTTTTAATGTTTGGATGGAATATTGATGCACTGCATAAATATAAGAATTATGATTTATTTGAGCCACTGATCATTTCATATTTACGTACCTTTTAGAAACTTTCAAGTTGCTAAGCAGTTCCGCAGGGAACTAAAGTCGCTGGGAGCTTGTTCGGATTTGTGTTGTGGCCATATTTTCAGACTTGCCTGAAGTTCCTCGTGTGCTTGGGAAGAAAGTACTGTCGGAACTTTATTTGAACTTTATGGAACTTGAAAGTAGGTTTTATCGTTTAATGCGGAACTTTTGGTTAGTTGGGCAGTTAACTACTTTTTTTTTCAATAGATTTACTTTCTTTTTTATTTAATCGTTTATTTTAATTGTTTACTTTTGCATTCATTAATTCAGACTTATAGCGAATGATATAGGGTAAGTGTACTAATTTTCAATCTTATTAGCCAAAACAGGTCTAAAAATAAAAATTTTATGAAATAAACACGCAATTCGCCTAAGGGGCTGTTCATTAACTACGTTAACAGTTTTTTGCAATGATTGACCCCCCTCCTCCCCCTGCGTAGACAATTATTGTCCATACATTTTTTTATATTTGTATGGACCGTGGATAATTTTCAACCCCCCCCCCCCTAAACTGTCTACGCAGTTTATGAACAGCCCCTTACTTGGATACATCTGATATTTTTTATAACGATTTCGATTGAAGTTTACAAAGTACAAAGTTTTGATTTTTTTAAATTTGTATGGAAGAGTCGAAAACTAGTGCTAGGTCGAAAATTAGTACGTTTACCGTACGTAGAATGATTCCCAACGGTATGACATTGGTGGAAGACAGTGAGTCGTATGAATAAAATAGTTTACAGTAACCCCTCCGTATATACGGTGGGTAATACTATCTACCCACCGCTGTTTCTCGGCTGCCCTTCAACCAGTTGAGCTGTTTTTCTGTAGCTAGCTAGTTTATACAAAAAAAGCAGCAAAATTGGTTGAAGGACAACCGAGAAACAGCGGGGGGTAAAGGGCGATCACGAAATTATTGCAACACATTTAATTTGCTCCCAAACTTCACGTATTTATCAGATAAAACCAAATGTGTAGGGTGGTTCTATACATGTGTTTACCTTAGTATACATGTATTGGATCAGTTTTCGTCGTATCCGGTACCTTTTCTCAATTTTCTCCATATTTCCGCATGTCATTTGCATCCTTTACTTTCTCCTTGGTCTTACTGAGTTCCCACTTCATCATGGTCCAATAGGTTTCGATTGGGCGTAGTTCTGGACAGTTCGGTGGATTCATGTCCTTGGGGACAAAATGCACTGACTTAGCCTCATACCATTCCAGCACGCTTTTAGAATAGAGACATGAAGCTATGTCCGCCATTGATTTGGCCTCAAAGATGGCAGCAGACGTTTTTGGAGGCATTAAGTTTTGTAAACTTCACCATTGATGGTGCTCTTTGTTACGAATATTTTACTTCTTTTTCCACAGGTGCAGGTAACCTGCCAAATGAGGCATTTTGATGCAAATTTCGACATTTTCTTTTTCTTGAAACAATAATCCACTTGGAACTTATCTTTTCCAGTGTAAAACTCCTTTCCTGGAATTTTTTGGAAGTCAGCTTTGACGTATGTTTCATCATCAATCGTACAGCAACTGTATCTGGTCAATATTTCCGTGCAGAGCTTCCCGCGTGGGTTTTGGCAATAGTTTGCTGACGTTCATCGTGGTTTGGGAAATGTTGCTAAATGTTCCAAAACTTTTTGTCGCAAACGGAGAGGGACTTCATAAGCATTCCGAAAAATAGGTGTGTTATCCTTTAGTACCAAATCACCCTCATATCCTACTATAGTATTAGATAAATCCTTATAAAAACCTTCGGAAACTTACGCTTTAAATCAATAACTGTCTCCTCGTCATTGATTGCACTGATGTAGTCCGTTGCCGCAGTCGGTCTCGCGAAAACATTTCTCCATCCAGCGTAAAAAGCGTCCAGCCAGGTGCGTCCCATCAAAGGAACAAAATCTTTTTCGCAACGTCTCCTAGCTGTACCGACACCTCAACCTTTCCTAAAACTTTCAGTTTTTTACCATCGATAACAACTAGACGCTTGATGCATGCCATCACAGGAAGATTCCTAAAGTTACAAAGAAACAGATCCTCAGAAATTACACTTTCCGCTGATCCACAGTCTATCTCCATAGTTATTCTTTTGTTTTCAATTTACATAAGGTACTTTAATTTAGTTAACAGTTGAAATCAATAAACAAGGAGAATCTTCATCAGAATCAGTCTGCATATCCTCCTTTAGCCGCTTGAATAAACCTGAAGTTCCCGAATCGGCGGGCTTAGGTGAATCAATAAACTTTACACTGGATTTGAATTTGCGATGGCTTTTGTTTTTGAGCTTGTAACAATACTTCCTGGCATGACCTTTCTTCTTGCAATACGAGCACAAAAACTCTTTATCGAAATTACTGTTTCTTCTTCCACCACTTCTGTTTCTAAAAGAAAATGATCGATTTCTGCTGTCACTCCCACTTCTACTTCTGCTTCGAAAATTTAACCTACGTGGTGTCTTGTCTTCGGCCCAAACGAGCTACCACATTACCTCTTCTTTCGTCGTCGCTTCTCAAAAATTGAGTTCTATTCGTAGCTATCTCCTGATTAACAATCATTTTTTCAGCTTTAGCAACAGAAAGATCATCCTCATCGAACAAACGCTTTTGTAGTTTCCGATCATTAATTCCTATAACCAATACATCACGAATGGCCCTATCTTTGAACTCACTAAACTCGCAATGCTCAGCCAAATGTTTAACATCAAGCACAAAGTCAACCGCCTTCTCAAACTGCCCTTGCCTACGCGTTCAAAATTCAAAGCTATGTA